CAACTCCGCAGAGGTATCTGGATCCCGAAAATTGCTCTGGTTGGCTTCTTGCTCTTTGTTCAAATGCTTTATGATAATCTCACCAGTTGCAATGTTTTTCAGCACATACCTAGTAATATCCAGATTTTCCCACACAATTAGAATTTCAACAGCACCCATTTCCAAAGCCTTCAATGTGTCATCTACACCAAAGACATACTTTCCCGTATCCTGGCTGATTTCTTCAAAATACTTGCCAATCAAGTGCTTCTCCTGTATGAACTTTACATTAGATAGAATCTCTGCAGACAGCTCGATAGCTTGATTGAACCCATTTTCTCCCCCATAGGAGACATCAACGACATTCAATATCTTTGCTTGTAAGCGAGGATCAAACATATCCGATTGGCTCAGCTCTGTCTTGAAGTCAGCTGAACCAGCAAGTATGAGTCCAGAAACATTAGGCTGACTGGTGGCAGGGTTGATGAAGAACTGTGTGGCAAGTTCTGCAGTCTTTCTCACATAGTTATGCCGCTTTTCCATCCGAAGACGGGCAAAACGCAAAGCTGACTGCCCTCCTCTTCCATGCTTCTTTGGTAAGTCAACAGTGAACTTGTGTAGCACCTCTCGTGTGTTTCCAGTTAATGTCCCAAAGAGAGTACCATTTCCATCCATGACAATAAAACCAAACTTATCATCAGATTCTAAAAGTTCATTTAGAGCTTCTGTGTGAAACTTGTTATCACATAGATACAGAGAGGCATTTATAGGCCTGAACGGTTCAAAGTCAATTGTCACCTTCTTTTCCTTGCCATCTTCAGTAACAATTGTTCCTGTATAAAGAACCAGCCCATTGGGAGGAACCTTATTATACAGCTTCAGCCTCTGTTGAGCAGAAGTAATAGCACCCAACACGGACTGACGGTTGACCCTGCTTTTGATGTTTGAAGCAGTTCCAAATTCATCACCCAACATCTTAGTGACCCGAGAAATTTGATCACGTGGAGGCATTATAAGAGATATCATACTGGTGCCATTGCCTCTTGCAGATTCCAATGCCTTGATCAATTTCTTGATCTTCCATATCTCAATGTTCTTATCTGATTCATGAGCATCTGCCATTGCGAGTTTACTGTTGACAGAACAAAAACAACAATATAGCCTACATATATCATTCAATAGCACTCCAATTGAAAGTTAGTTCAAATGAGAGCTCTAATAAAATAAGAAATAAGAAAATTCTAATAATCAATTAAAAAAAGTAAACAAAAAAAGACATAGAAGCATTTTTTTAAGTTCATGTAGCCATATATATTTACTCAAATTATGAATTATCCATACTCCAACTTCCATAAATATCCTATATTAAAAATAAAAAAGCCAAGTTTCTTAATATGAACTGAAATTACCACTTGAGTGAACTACAAAAATTAATGTAGGACAGAACCTCTAAAAATCAAACATATTGGGTCTTGTTTTGGACCAAAGGACGCGAAATACCATTGTCCAAATATTGCTCCCAACAGTTCCGTCTCAACCTAAATATCCAACTTTGTTTCAATTACGACCTAATGGCATTGTAAAAGATGTTCCAAAAAAATCATATTTTAGAAGATGAACTGATAAACTCTCTGCAATCGAATCGTAGTTGAAGACAACTATGAGAAAAAGAAACTCTCCCCAAATTCAACACAATCAACTAACATTTAATATAGAGAAATCGAGCAGGGAAAGAAGCTATGGTGATAATCGGTAATAAAAACGAACCTTTTTAAATATTGCGACCGAAAGTTCTATGGCATCTAGGGTTTTCGCTTTCAGTTTTTAGTCTCGCTTTGACTATTACAAAGGCTTGAGGCTTCTTCGAGCCCGGTTTCGTCTGACCAATGATGATATGTGGAATAATTCCGGGGCAGGCTGTATTTCCTCTTGGTTTTTAACTTCTTCAGTCCTACGTCCATTCTTCGTGTTTTCTTTTTTATTAGTTTTCTTAAAGACGTGTGCAGTTACCCTTTAGAAATCAAGACTTCTCAACATCGTATAGATTATACTAGGGGTGGTTGCGGTTCAGTAACCGCGAATTTTTACTTAAACCGCAAACCGATCGACTATTTGCAATTTGGTGATTTTTGAAATCGTAAACCAACCGCATTTTGCGGTTTACCGGGCAAAATGTGGTCGGTTACCGCAAATTAGCGGTTTAAAACAGCAAGTTCTCAAACATTCACAAAAATATAAATTCACAACGTAAATAAATAAATACACAACCTCAATTTCACAAACATATATAAATTCACAATTTTCTCAACTTCTCAAGCATTCACAACCTAAGAAAATTAAAGTTACAATTCCAAACATTCCAATTAAGGTTAAACTTCTTAAGCATTCCAAATTCTTTAAAGTTACAAACCAAAAGGAAAATGCAAAGCAAAATAAATTAAAGTTACAACCAAAAAGAAAAATCCAATTCAAAGTTAATTAAAGTTACAAACTAAAAGGAAAATGCAATGCACCAATGTTACAAACTCAAGTGTTGGTGGTGAGTGGATTTGAAGAACCTCATTGTGTTGTTTGAGCATCAATGTTATTTACAAATAAAACAACATAGTTTAGTACATTTTATTATAAGAAGAAGCATAAATAACATTAGCATAAATAAACTAATTACTTACAAGTTGTCATATGTTCCATTTCCTTGTAGAATTCAACATCATCATCCGTGCGGCTATACTTTGCGGTTTGAGGTAACCGCAAGTTTTGAAAATCAAATACTGCAACCGCAACATCAAATGCGATTCAGTTCTTAATACCGCAAATGCGGTTCGGTTTACCGCGATTGCGGTTTCATTGCGGTAAATTTTCGGTTGATTTTTGCGGTTTTTCGGTTTAAAATGCCACCCCTAGATTATACAATAGTATGAGTGGAGCAAAAAGGAGAGGCTTATAGCTTTGGTTTTTATTTTTTCGCCCTCTTCTTCGTGTTTTCTCACCGATTTTTCTTTTTTGCAAGGGGTTTATCGCTCAAGTGGTTAAGAGCATTTATCCTTACACTCAAGGTCTTGTGTTTGCACGAACGATCCTATGTCTAGGCTAACCTCGACTATAGCCTAGGTGACTTGATTTTTGATAGCCCAAAGTTAAAAGTCAGCCTAGGTGACTTGAATTTTTACACCCCACATGGACACACACACCTCAATCCAACTCACATAAAATCTCATATTTTTTTCTTTAGTTAACTAACCTCACACGTGACACATACCCCCTTTCAGAAAACACTTGTTTCATTCCCTCAGAGAAAATCCTTTACCTTGCCTTGAATACCTTCTTTCATTTTTATTTTCCAAGTTGGCTTGAATGACTAGATGGACTAAAATGGTTCAGTTTTTTTCTTCTTCTTTTGTAACAGATAAATGCTTTCAATTTATTTCCTTTCTAGGAAAAGTTTATCGTGTAATTGATATAAGGAGATAGAGGGTCTCCTTGCCTGATACCACAATGAGGAGTGAAGGACTCAGTTAATTCCCCATTGAGAATAGCCTTGTACTGAATAGAAGTAATACACTGCATAATCAACTCAAGAGTTCTTCCCCTAATTCCCCATTCCCATAGCACTTCCCTAATAAAGGACTAGTGGAGGCGATCATAGGCTTTGGATAAATCAATTTTCCAGGCGATAAGCCCCTTCCTTTAGAGGTTCTGAACTTATGAAGCACCTCTTGAGCAACCATAATATTATCAGTAATTTGTCGCCCAGGAACAAAGCTAACTTGGTTGGGGCTGACAAGCTTATCCATACAAGTTCAGAGCCTAGCCACAAGAATTTCGGAGACCACTTTATAAAGAGTGTTGCATAGACTGATAGGCCTTATTTGGGTCATGGAAGCAGGCCTCTCTACTTTGGGCACCAGAGCAATCAAAGTCTCATTAAGATGAACAGGGAGAGTGGCAGAGTTGAAACATTCCTGAACAAAAGTAATTATATCAATTGAGCACATCTCCCAATACTTTTGGTAGAAGATGGCAGGAAAACCATCAGGGCCAGGGGTCTTTAAGAGCATCGCCAGCGCCATACCCAAATTGGGGGAAAGGCTGCCCTGGCGAGCCCAAGACACCTCTAGCGCAGCAGATGCAGCCTGGTTTCATGGTGGGTTCCACCAGCCCGGGCAGGCCCAAGGGAAAATTCAGCCCGAGCTGCTGCCAGGGCAAGCTGTGGTAATGACGTCATAATGACGTCAGCAACCCAAAAAAAATAAATAAATAAATAAATAAAAAACCAAAAATTTCAGAATTTTTTTAAATAAATACCTAGGCATATTCTTTACTTCCCACACAAAAAAACTATATACAAATTCATCTCCTCATATCTCATATGAATAGTATTTGCCTTAGACTTGCCCTAGACTTAGCTCTCATGGGTGGAACCACAAATGCAAAGACTGACACTATTCACGTGAATAGTGACAGTCTTTGCTTGCCCTTGCCTTAGACTTAGCCCTTGTGGGTGGAGGTGCTCTAAGCCACCAATGGCAAAGACACTAGTCTTAATCTCTTCCACAGAAACAGGGTAGCTTAAATCAGCAAGATCAGTTTCCTCAAGCCTGGGGAATAATTAAGGAAACATAGAAAAATCACCCATAGCATTAGGGGTACAGAACAGCCCTTGAAAATAAGTGATAATAACATGTTTCATACCTTGTTTGTCCGTAATCCACTCCCTTGTATCATTTTTTAACCCTTCCAATTTGTTTCTCCTTCTTCGGATAACCGTAGAAAGATGAAAGAAATGGGTATTCTTATCACCTTCTTTCAGCCAAGCGTTTCTAGATTTCTGAAAACATCTCTTCCTAGCAGAGAATGAGATTGTAGTCTTTAGTTAACTCACTCTCCAACTGATTGAGATAAGAGTTATGCCCTTGACAGAGCTTTCGTTGAATACCGGCAAGTCTGGCCAGTAATCTTCTTTTCCTTTGGAAATTACACCCAAAAACCTGACGATTCTAATTTATAAGAGGGGGCACAATTCAAGCAGATTTTTGGACGGCATGCCCAGTACCAGAATTCCAACAATCAGCAATAAAGGTAGAGAACTCAATATGCGACATCCACATGGCTTGAAACCGAAAAGGGACATTACCTTTGTCAAGACGGTGGTTGGATTCAAGACTAACCAGAATAGGACAATGGTCAGCATTCACTCTAGGCAAATGCATTAGATGAGCCTCGGGATATAGAAGACGCCAATTAATAGTGCATAAACCTCTATCCAACCTTTTCCAAATAATACTCTCAACATTTCTTTTATTACACCAAGTGAATTGAGCGCCAAAGAAGCCCAAATCAACGAGGTGGTTACGATCAATCCAATCAACAAAGCTTTTACCACCATGGTTCAGATTGCCACCACATTTTTCATCAGCACTAGCAATATCATTGAAATCCCCTAGCACAAGCCATAAAGAAGAAACAAGGGCAAGATCATCAAAGTACTTCCACAAGGCTTCTCTGATCATTGGGTAAGGATTTGCATACACCACAGTGAGAAGCCATCTTTTATTCCTCGAAGTCACTAAAGCAGTGATAAACTGGCTAGAGTGGGCAACCACATGGAGAGAGACAGAATTCCCATTCCACAACAACCAGATTCCACCACCCCCCCCCCCCCCCCCCCCCCCAACCCCCAAAGAGAAGCCAGTAGCATCAATAATGTGGTGATGAGAGAAACCCAAACTCTGGGCAATAATAAGAGCCCTAGGGACACTAATTCTGGGCTCAAGAATAGCGAACACATCTATGGCATAAGCCTTTTTTAAATCCTTGATAGTCATAGCACAACTTTCTTTTCCAGCACCTCTTTTTCCAGCACCTCTAACATTCCAAGCAACAATCTTCATTAAAAAGAATGGGAAGAAAGGAACTTTAGGGAGGATCCTAAGTCTGCAACTGCTCCACCACAAAGGCTTCAGAGACATCATGGTAAAAAGACATATCGGCTTCCCGTCCAAGCTCGGCCTCGCCAAGTTCCGTGGGGACACATTGAAGGTCCATATCGTCAGAGGCAACATTCACACCATCAACATCAACTTCAGGAAGCCCCATAGGATTAAAATCAGGAGGCTCATGTCCATGGAGAGGGCCACCCTTGCCCAGATTCTCAATGAAGACAGAGTTGTCCACATTGAAAAAGAACATTCCATGAACATCATCTTGAACCTCAGAACCTTTAGTCTGTAAACCCACAGATGCTATCGAGTTAGCAGAACAAGACTTAGTCCTAGTGTTATTCTTCCCAGGCCTAGTCAAAATAGAGTCGTTCTTCACCTTTTTTATTGCCAACGTGAGTCTCATCAGAATTGGTGATGTCCTTGAAGGGTTTTTTGAAAACCTATGGCGAAGAACCACGAATTGGGGAAATCTTTTTCCCAGCAGATTTGTTCTTAGAGGAGGTGGCCTCAGTAGCCTGATCATGACCTCTAGAACTAGAATCAACATACTTGAACGGCCGACTACCCTCGAGGTTACCCTCTGCCAACCTCATATTTTAAATGTATAGTAAGGCGGCTATATTGCAATACATGGTAGCCATTTTAGATTATTTAATTAGTAATTATGTTTTAATTATTATTTTTTAGTGAATAATTAGTGTTTAAATATTTTACTAATTTCATAAATTACTGAATTAATTATTATTATTTTGTGGACTTTTTTTATTTTTTTAATATAAAATTAGTTTGTTTAGTTTACTATTTACAATTAAGTAATATCTTAGTCTTATTTAATTATATTAATTATTATTTATGTTTTAATTGTTCTTTATTTAACGAATAATTAGCATTTAAGTTTTTTTTAATTAATTTCATAAATTAACTTGGGTGACTTGATTTTTTACACCCACACGGGCACACACCCCCATCCCACCCACAGAAAATCTCTTTTTTTTTTTCTCTTTAGTTAACTAACCCCACATGTCAAATAGAAAGAAAAACATAAACTAATCTCACACGTGACACATACCCCTGTTTTTATGTTGTTAGATTTACATAGGTATATTTTATTTTATTTTATTAGAAATTTGGAACTTCTTATTATCAATGAAATTCACTTGTACGGTCAAGTTTTCTTTCTTTCAATAGGTTTGTATGTAAGGTAAATTTATCCCACCCTATTTTCAAATTCTAGATTCTTCCATGTGTGTTCGAATTCCCACATCCAACATCACTTGTATACAAAATTATAAAAAATATATAGAGAAAAAGAAGAAGGGCATGTGTCAAAAAAAATGGACATGGAGGAGAGTTTTGCAGACAGGAAATCCAACTTGTTTATACTATAATCAACAGAGCATATTCAGCCTCAAAACAACTAGCACCAAGGCAGACACGCCTTCTACCCTACCGAAGGAAAACACTCTTCTGAGGTGCCAAGCACCTGCCGAAACTCCCTACTGCCAAAGCTCACAAACTGCTAAACCTAATCTCCATGACACGTGTCACCACCGCAGCGACTTGCACAAAATCCCACAACCGAGATCTACACCAACCTCCCACTTTCACTTCCCTATAAAAAGGGCACAATACCCTAGTAAAAAAGGTAACTACTTTCTTACCTTTTACTATTACTCTGCTAAAGTTAACCCTCTTAGCTGACTTAAGTATCGGAGAACCTTCGGCCGGCACCACACCGGTGTCCGAAGCTTAACGACTGCTTCTCCTATTTTGTCTTCTGCAGGCTAGCCTTTATCGAAGGTCCAGGCCCTTTCCTGTCGTATTTTCATTTTCACCCATCTCTGACCAAATTTATTCCTCTCAAATCTCAACTTCATAAACTTTCACTGTTCTACAATAGCTCATCCTTATTTCGTAATAAGTTTCACTTCTCGAAATCCCAATTCTATAAAGAATTTGTGTTGGCTTTTATAGAAGAAGAGCAGCTAGCCGACATAGACCAACTACCCATGCCATCTTGGTGCCGAGCCATACCATGTCCACGGACCCCGTTTATATTAAAACCCAATCGTGCTTCAGGTTGCGCAGGCATCGAGGTGCAGCAGTGTACAACATAGCTATACTACAGCACTTGATGTGCTTCTATTAAAAACGTTTCTAGCAAAGGCGCTTATAAGCAGAAATACATTTATCGAAACATTAGTTAAGGGAGGACATTCATATAATGTGCTGAGTACGCTGTAAGAAGTTATGGGAAACAGAACCTTCGTGCATCACTTTTTTCTACTGCCTAATCTATGCAATTGATCATTTTTGGTGAGTACGTGTCCAAACCAGAGTCTACACATCTGCGAGAGCAATAAGTTGATCGACCACACTTGGATCTGCAAGAGTGCTGGTGTCACCAAGCTCATCTAACTGTCTAGAAGCAATTTTCCTCAGAATCCTCCTCATTATCTTCCCACTCCTTGTTTTTGGAAGGCCAGGGGCCCAGTGGACTTTGTCCGGTGCTGCAAATGCTCCGATCTGAAAAATGTTGATAAGAATTTTACATACTTGTGGCTACTCATCAATAGCATATGGAAGATACATCCAAACAAGAAGACTGAAAGTGCGATTCATTACAAAGTTTCCAGGCTGAACGACATGTCAGCCAATTCAAATATAGTTTCAGAAGATATCATTATCTTATGTGAAAAATACCACCTTTTTAAAAATAAATTTATTTTTATCTGCATAATCCTGACACCATCCAGGGGTATGATGGCATGGCATTATGGGGTAAGAATAAGTCTTCAAGAATTCTATGCAAGTGTACAAAGTAGCCCTAATACCAGCTGGAGTGCCATAGCATCACAAGTAACAAGATGCAGTAAACTTAAATGCAGAACTAGATATATACCTGCTTTCTGACATTCAGTATAAGGCCTTTCCGGAGTTCTTCGCTGTAAGGTACACCCTCCACAAGAGTAACAAAAGCATATATACCTTGTCCTTTAACCTACAGCAAGAAAGCAATTTTGTTCAGACATACATACTAGCCACAAGCATCTGCTGTTTTTAGTCTGTTCACTTCAGTATTTTCCCTTTTCTCTTCCTGGGTTCTGCATCACATACCTCATGCTCAACGCCAACCACAGCAGCTTCAGCACACTGGGGATGTGATACCAGAGCAGATTCCACTTCTGCTGTACCAATACGATGTCCACTGCACGCATTATGGTATTATTATTGAGCATAGGCAATAAACATCAATTGCAGTCTTTGAAATTACAACAAGATGCAAAGATACTTGTGTAGAGGAAGTTAAGGAGGGGAATATCATAATTTAAAATCCTTAGAAATATACACATTAACAATCCTATTACTACATTTAGCTCACTCATACACATAAAACATAAAAAATTATATGGGCAAAGCTTATGGAATCCAAAAAATACCTGACATTGATAACATCATCAACCCGTCCTGTAAGCCAGTGATATCCATCTTTGTCCCTGAGGCATCGATGTGTACAACTTAGCATGTCTTGCACCCCCATATAATATATAAAACACTCCTAATAAATCCTAAACTATAAACCCAAAAAAAAAAATTCAAATCTTGTTTTGGAAACAAAAAAACTTCATACATAACTCATATTAGCAGTCATGCTGACGAAATTGAAGATTGACGTTATTACTTACCTGCTGCATCCATCACCACTAAAATAATACCCAGGGAAAGGTTTAAAGTAAGTAGTTTCGTATCTTTCATGATCACCGTAAAGAGTTCGGAATGCTCCAGGCCATGAGCTTTTTATACACAGATAACCACTGCACTCCCCTTCAATCTCAACACCCTTCTCATCCACTATGACAGCCTGCAGTTACAAGGAAAAAAAGTTAATATGAAGTAGATCTTACAGATTCAAAAGTGTAAAAAGAGAACAGTATGAAGATGATGATAAGTATCCATAAAGAGAATAAAAGACCTGAACTCCAAAGAAAGGGAAAGTAGCAGAACCAGGCTTCTGTGGCCAGGCACCCGGTAATGGAGTTATCTGCCAGGTAAAGAAGGTAAATCATTTCAAGTTAAAACGTCGGACCGATGGAAGTCCAGGTGAATGCAGGTATATATTGGGACATATGTGGGGGTGGGGAAGTGTTTAACAAGTAAAATCTCGAGAAATATTCTGATGCCAACAATTACATTCTGCTTGAACACCAGTTAATGGCACAAGAGATAAAAACTATTTAAGAACAGTACTAGAATACCATAAAGCCACCAGTTTCAGTTTGCCACCAAGTGTCAGAAATAGGACATTTTGAATCTCCAACCAGATTGAAAAACCATCTGTGCCAAAAAGGGCTGAGTTAATAATTCTTTTTGAGTACGAAATGCAGCTTTTGGATCAGACAACAAAAGAAATGAGAACCTCCATGCACTTGGATTAATAGGCTCGCCTACACTTCCAAGGACACGTAAGGATTTCCGCGAGTATCGCATAACATACTGCATGAAAAAGATGAAGTAGAAATTCAATATACACATATAATAAACATTATGTAAGTGGAACCTTAACCTGATCTAGACAACAAGACCACCATAGACGTATGAATACAACTACGTAAAATGGACACCCTTGCAATGCAGATAGTAAATAATGAAGATTATACAGAAAGACTAATTTCTTGATAGGTAATTCATTAAGAAACACCAACGGCAGGGCCACCCAAGTAAACCAGATATGTAAGATAGAGGATTGGCTTTGACAAAACAGAAGGATAAAAATGAAACAGGGAGAAAATGACGAGGAGCTTATGGCCAAAAAATGCAGACAAGCTTTATACTTCAATTAAAACTATGTTCATTTCTCTTAGTCTTCACTGCAGCCTGATTCAGGTAAAGGGAAAAAACCATTAGATCGAAATAAAGTTTCAGAAGTGATCACCTAGAACAAACAAATAGAGTAATGTGTTCTTTTCGGACTCTAGATAGCTGTGAACAGCCATCACAAACTTATAAAATTGTCTTGATCAATAACAATACATTAAAAATATCACATCCACATAAATGGAAGTAAGGACAGGTTAAATATCTTGCCTCGTCACTATCACGCATGAGGGACCGCACTAATGTGGGGGCAGTATAAAATATGGTCACTTGGTATTTATCAACAATATCCCAACAGCGTCCAGGATTAGGATAATTTGGAGCCTGCAATATATACATGGAAAGTAACTACTATATTAAAGGCCAACACTGGAAATCCAATTCAGCAAAAAAGATACTAAGCGTATGCACTAAAAGTTACATCATAACCAATACAGTGCAGCACTTTTTACACATGAGATGCTCAGGCATTATCCAGATATTGAGATACAACTAGTTGGTGTTCTAAATGCTATTATGTAGTTAACACTAAAAAAGTTCATTTCATGCAATAGTATAATGTAAACAAGTATTTAAGAATTTATATAGATCAAGATCATAGACAGTGATATATGATTCTCACCATAAGGTAAATTAAATGTTATATTCACAACTAGCCAACTGCAGTTTCATATTTTGCTTCTTCAGGAATTTGAGTCCAAAAGTTAGGCTATACAAGAGGGGCTACCCTTCTTACTAGAAGAATCTCCCCACCCTTTAAGGTTCAACTACCAACAATATTATAAGTCCAACCAAACACCTTTGGCTAAAGGGGAGAGGTACCAGTAGGCTATAATGCCACTGGGAAAGAAAAAACATACCTTCAAACCTAGCTTTCAAGCTTCTTTCTTGTATAGTCGTTTTTCTTTTCCATTTTTGCCCAAAGGCTTCCAAATGCCAGAGTAGATATTTTGGCTATGTGCATGCAGATGAATATTTTTCTTTTGACATCTATTTTATGTTTTTGTCGTTAATGTAAACAATAATCTGTGTATTAATCTGTCTATCAATTACCCCTTCAAATATGACAGCAGACGCTCCATTTAGCAGGGGTCCATATGTGACATAGCTGTGCCCAGTGATCCAACCACAGTCAGCTGTACACCTAAAACAGAGATAAAGCTATGTTGAGTGACCAAAAAAAGGGGGAATCAGCATAAATCAGCTTCTTTAACATGAGAAGATCAAATTAACATTAATGATAAGCACAGGATTTTTAAGGATACCAGTAGATGTCAGATGGCTTGTAATCAAATGCATATTTAAATGTTGTTGCAGTGTACACCATATATCCTCCAGTTGTGTGGACAACTCCCTATAAGAGACTAATATTAGAAGAAGCCCAAAAAAGAAGAAGGGAAAGATGAATTAAAGTATGGAACATATATACCTTCGGCTTGCCAGTGCTCCCACTAGTATAGAGCAGAAAAAGTGGATCTTCTGCATCAACCCACTCCACTGCACAAGTAGTTGGATATTTAGGTATGACATCCTGGAAGATGATCATGAGTCATCAGTCACAACCGTCCATAAAACAAGCACTCAAGCTATTTAAAAGCATATGATGAAACACTAATATAGGAAGAATACACAACAGAGCATGCATGTTACAGATAAAATCACTCTTTCTTTCATGGAAATCTGTATAAAGAGGTGCTAGTAGTACTACTAACCTGCCACCATACATCTCTTTCTTCTTTCCATTTGGTACTTTCCTTCTTCATAGCCAATTGATTTTCATAAGTTAAGCATACATCTGCTCAAATAGGGAATCATACATCCATTATACTAAAAAAGAAAAGCAAATCAATCCTTGGTCTTAGAAAAAGAAATATATATAGTCTATATAGAGGATTGGTCTGTTATGGTTGATTACTGTACTTATGGAAACGATTTTTGCAAATAACATCAGATCCAGACAATCTTAAATCCAAACCTGCCTCTCAATGGATGCCCAATAGAAACCTAACAATTTTCTCAACTTTCAGTAAGTTCAATTTTTTTTCTCGAACTAATTTAAGGTTTAATAAAAGAAACAGGATACCACTACCAAATACATTTTTTTAGAAAAAATGAAAAACTAACAAAAGGGAGACAATAAATAATATAATGAGGAAACTGTAAAATTAAATTTATCCTATCCTGAGACAGAAGTAATTAGATAGATGTGTGCATAAATCACATAGCAATTAGCAAATTTCCATACCTATAGAAACCCCACTTTGGGATGATTCAATAAGGGCAGCATCAACTATATCTTTGAGGTGGATGACCTTAGAACCCCTTTTAACAGCATTGCAAGTGATTACAACTTTCGGTTTGCAATCCACAATTCTTTGAGCAAGAGATTCTGCGGAAAATCCAGCAAAGACAACCTGAAAGAATGGAAAAGGCAAAATTAGAAAAAAGAAAGAGTTGTGGATGTTGGAAAGCAAAGAGTAACATGGTGCAATACCGAGTGAACTGCACCAATGCGAGCACAAGCAAGCATTGTGATTGGAAGTTCCATTAACATTGGTAAGTAAACCACAACAGCATCACCCTTTTTAACTCCAATATCTTTCAAATAGTTTGCAAGCTGGGAGCAGTAGAGGTAAGAGAAGGTGAGATAATTGATTAGCAACTGACAGAATGAAGACCCAATCTCTTGTTTTCTATTCTTGTTGTTTTTAATGATTAAATTTTGTATTGGGTTTTATGCATGCGTGGGAGTGTGTGCGAGAGAGAGAAAGAGAGTGATAATGTAAATGTAAATGTAAATGTAATGTAAGGAATAATGATAGACCTGGCAAACGTTGTGGAGAAGCTGGATGTACGTTAAAGTGGCATCAACACCAGGCTCATTGCCTTCCCAGTAAAAGGCAATTTTGTCACCAAGTCCAGCTTCAACATTTGAGTCAAGGCAATTGTAGCAGATGTTGGTGATACCGCCCTTGAACCACTGCTCAAAACACAGATGGTGGTCAAAAGGAAGAGGAAAACGAAATCAAAGGGGGAAAACGAAATCCACCACGCAGATCACCTCAATTCTGATATCGCCTTTCCTGACATCGAGATTCTCCAAGTAGACTTGTTGGTCCCATTTCTGTTTCCAATAGAAGCTGGAAGCAATATCCGACCAAAACCCCGCGGGGTCCTCGATGGACCTCTTATACATCTCCAGATACTGACGAGGACGATGATGATAAATTGATAATGGTATTGGTTAAATCAATAAGATTAGATGTTGTATGTACAGAAAACGAACAAACAAACAGAGAAAAATGAAAAGAGAGAGCGTTGCAGTAGTTACCTTGAGGGGAGAGGGAACATGAGCCTGGCGGGAGAAGTCGTCGCTGGGGAAGATGAGATCGTTCTCTTCACAAGCGAGTGCTTCTCCCAAAACGATGGCGTTGAGGTGGGGAATGTTTCCAGCGCCAGAAGGCATTGTGGCCATGGACTCCACATGCCGCAGATGATTGGTTGTGGTAATGTTGTTGGCAGATGATGATTCCATGCCCCAATTCACCTTATTATTACTAGTGCTCATAATGTTGCTGCCGCTACTGGTGCCCCAACCCCAGGATTTAAATCTGGATCTTCCCCACAAAGAAGAAGAAGAAGTAAGACTCAGAGGCGGAGGAGTAGGAGGAACCGAATTTGGAATTGACTTTCTTCTCTTGAGCTCGGAATACGACGTTAGTATGGCTACCGGAGGAGGTTCAGCAACAATTATATTATAATAATTCGTATTGTAATATTGAGCGACCATTCTCCCTCTGTCTTTCTGCCTACCCTCCCTCTTGCTTGCTCGAATATTATAATGAGTTACGAATTATGACTTTTCGCCACCTTTATCTTTTTTTTGTTTTCCACCCCGTGAGCGTGAGATGTGATCATCGATCAGGTCAGTCAGCATAACGGACGGTGGATGCTTATCTTCTTTTTAGCCATTCCATTTTTCCAAAATCTTCTCTCTCATCTCATGATAATTAAACAACATTAACCTAAAAATAAAATAATCATAATAATAAAACAAACATTTGGGTCAGCTTTGGCTGGCAGCTTCGTCGTGTCCGCCTATCGTTCAATTTGTTCAACTATGCTCAGAGAACAACCTTTTCCTGGGGTGGGCACAACAAGACGCCAAAAATGACGAACGAGGAAGAAAAATAAAAAACAGAGTCGGGCCCTTTGGAGATGTAAGGCCCTTTAGTATAATTGAATTCTAAATTCTTGACTGTATTAATTTTGTTTTTGTGGGCAAAGGTACTTCAACTACAAACAAACACTCAATTCAAACTGGACCTTCCCCCACAAAATCAAAATTTCAATTGACGGTATTGATTTAAGAATGGAACTCTCTGTTCAACATTTACCAGTCTCTTCAGTTCAGAAAATTACTCTCTTCATTAGTACTACAAACTTATAAAGGAAGGAGCACTACAAATCAACGAGGAAAAATTCCAAGATCAAGGAGGTCAAGCCATTTCCGTCCAAACACCTGGTCTCGGTCTGATCACTCGCAAAGCTTAAGCTTTATCATTTGCCAAATCTGTAACCATGAGATGAGAGTCTGGTTTCATATCTTTTTTCAAAGACAACACCTTGTCCTTGGTCTTGGTCTTGCTGTGGCACACATATATTGTTACGTAATCAAAATCCAGTCATTTATCAGTCAGATAGTCAACCCAGATCGTGCTTGAAGCTCTCAAGTGCATATACCAACTCAGACTCTTAAGCAATCTAACTCCTCTGCTTTATATCTGTTTTGCTTTACAGGCATGGATTGCACTAATTTGCGTACCTCATCTAACATATCAGCACGGCCATATAGTTCAATCATGCAAGTGTAATGTTCTAAAATAGGCGTAATACCATAGTGTTTACTCATGTATTTGAAATACCTACAACCAGCCTCCAGATTATTTGTATGCAAACAAGCAGATAAAACACCTACAAAAGTGATTGCATCTGGCCTTACGTTCAGCTTCTCCATCTCTGCGAAAAGGGCAAGGGCTTCCTCTCCAAACCCATGTACACCCAAGCTTGTAATCATTGCATTCCATGTGGCCAAGCTCTTGATTCGCATTTCGTCAAATACTCTCCTTGCGTCCTCTAAACTACCACATTTGCTATACGTATCAATAAGAGCTGTCCCAAGGAAAACATCAAGTTTAAATCCATTTTTAAGAGCAAAGTCGTGAATCCATCTACCCAATTTGAGGCTCCCCAATTGGGTACAAGCTTTCAGCAAGCTTACCAGCGTGAATTCGTTTGGCCTAACACCACCAACCTGCATTCTCCAGAACAGCTCAAAAGCCTCTTCAGGTTGCTGATTTCTAACATACCCATTCATCATTGCTGTCCATGAAACAACATTTTTAGCTGGCATTCGCTCAAAAACCGCTCGGGCAGCATGCAATTCCCCACAAGCAACTAGCCCCGAAATCATGGTTGTCCATGAAACTACATTTCGTACACGCATTTTTTCAAACACCCTGCAGCCACAATCTATTTCTCCACACTTGAAGTAGAAGTCCATTAAAGTATTTTGAACAAACATGTCTCTGGAGAAACTATTTTTTATGGATAACCCATGAACCACTTTTCCTTGCTCAAATGCAGAAGAAGCAATGCAAGCTTTGATAACAAATGGAAAGGTGAACTTATCGGGTGGAAATCCTTGGCGTATCATAAGGCTATACAGAAGGAGGGCCTCTTGTGAGCAGCCGTTGATGGTATAGGACATGATCATTAGATTCCAAGTAAAAGTAAGGGGGCCTTGGATTTGATGGAATATGAGAGTGGCATAGTCCATTTTCCCATAGGAAGAGCAAAGGTGAATGAGTTTCCTGATAAGTAATTGATCATGAGAAAGACCATTCCGGATAATCTTAGCATGGATTTGCTTGAGATGTTTGAAAGTGGCGCAATTTTGGAGTAAGGTGAGAGCTTCCTGAGAACCAAATTTGGTTACCCTAGAGCTGGTGAATAGGTTACTTTTGGGGAGAACCTCGGGAGTACATGAAAGGCATGCAACCATCATAACAGAATTGTCTTCTTTTCGGTACACAAACAAACAGAAGCGTGTCTTTCTGCAAACACTGAGTGTTAGACCTTTAACAACAGTTCGACCTGCCGATTGCCTGCGTGAGAGTGTGAACGGCAGGAACTATATGAGGTATCAAATGAAGGAATGGAAAATGAATGAGAAACAACACTTGGCTTGAAAAGACTCAAGCAAATTATAGATACAATATGGTTCCCCTTGAGCTTAAGATCCTAGGCTCCATAATATATCAATGCAACTAATTCTTGACAATTTGATTGGGAGAAGTAAGGTGGGATCTGTTGTACAAATCACAGAGGTAGGGTGAATCCCCTCCCATATCCCATATCCCAAACTCAGAGGTGGGATTTTGTTTGGGGTTAATGATGCATAGCATACTAATAACTATACTAATCAAATCTTACTCATTCCTCCCACGTCGTTTTCTGGAATCTAAAATGAATATGAATTTTCGGTGAACGTTGGCCTTTATAAAATGTAAACCTAAAAAGAAAAACAAGAATAAAGGACAGAATGTTACCTCTCCTTCCTCTATTGCCTAATAGCAAAATCAATTCCAGACTGGGAACTTGGGAAGAGGAGGATAGAGCTCAGTCAAAGTAATACTCGGCTTCAACTTTCGTCTTCCGCTCTATTTACTTTACATACTGCAGATTGCAATTGCGTAGCCTTATATCATAATTCATCATCAGCCAAGATGTCTTTTCTTTTTTTTTACTGAATCTGCATGGCCCATAAACACCATCACCCTCTCTTTTTCTATTTGCCCCTTCCCCTTAACGAAAACTGACTTGGCCAACCCAGAAAGTGAAACCCGTCCTCCTCTTTCTCCGGCCGGTATTGGATTCAGCAGCAAGGTCTCCTTTAGGCGTTTATTTAAAATACAAATTTATAAATAAACCCAATTCTAGACATGTATTTATAAAAAAACTCAAGCACTATTTAAACATAGAAACACACCCAAAATCAACCCCAAAGTCAACTTTTTGGGTGTGTTTATAAATGAGTTTTGAGTGTGTGTAATGATGGGTTTGGGTGTGTTTATAAAGTGTTTTGGGTGTTGGGTTTTTTTATAATTTCAACCTCCATTTTGGATGTTTTAGTGAAACTCCCTATTTAAAACGCCTGATAATTCTAGGGCCTCTCTCTCTCTCAAGTCGACTAGTAGCGTTCTCTAGCTAGCTAGATAGCGGTATCATGACCCGTATCACTTAACCCGTGACCCATCCGACGAAATTATATAAGTAACGACATAGCATGAGATGCCGTTCAAAGGGAAGGGAGAAAACAATACGTCGTTGAAAATGTAACGACAGAAATTGAAACGATAAGAATTAAGAAACGGCACATAACTTTATTGGTTTTTATTTTTTATTTTTTATTTTTTAAAAGTAAAATTTATAGTCTGAAAAATATTGAGGGATAAGATGAAGAAGGTGAAGGGAAAAATTCGCGACGGCTCTCAGTCTCAGGGCAAAATCAGATAGGTTCTTCCTCTACTGAATTAAAATTCCAAGGTTAATTTTTCTTCTTTCTGGTTCTGGAAGTCCAAGATAAATAATACTATCTGCAGGAGGAGGGGTTCGGTTAGGCTTCAGGTTTGCAGTTGTTTGGGGGCGGGGCAGGGCAGGGTTGGTGATAAATAATAAATCGGAAAATATTATTATTGGAGAGAGAGAGAGAGAGAGAGAGAGAGAGATGGGGGCCAGTAGGAGTAGCGATCCGAATCAGGACGGGTCAGATGAGCAGCAGAAACGATCGGAGATCTACACGTATGAGGCGCCATGGCACATCTACGCCATGAACTGGAGCGTCCGTCGGGACAAGAAGTACCGGCTGGCCATCGCAAGCCTCCGGGAGCAGTATCCGAACCAAGTGGAGATCGTGCAGCTGGACGACTCAAACGGGGAGATCCGGTCGGACCCCAACCTGTCGTTCGAGCACCCGTACCCGCCGACCAAGACCATCTTCATCCCGGACAAGGAGTGCCAGAAGCCAGACCTGTTGGCCACCTCGAGCGATTTCCTCCGCGTGTGGCGCATCTCCGGGGAGGACGAGGAGTCTGATTCCTCCTCCTCCTCGTCAGTGGAGCTCAAGTCCCTCCTCAACGGCAACAAGAGCTCCGAGTTCTGTGGGCCCCTCACCTCCTTCGACTGGAACGAGGCGGAGCCCAAGCGTATCGGCACCTCCTCTATCGACACTACCTGCACTATCTGGGACATAGAGCGCGAGGCGGTGGACACCCAGCTCATCGCCCACGACAAGGAGGTCTACGACATCGCCTGGGGCGGCGTTGGTGTCTTCGCCTCCGTCTCGGCAGACGGCTCCGTGAGAGTGTTCGACCTGCGCGACAAGGAGCACTCGACCATCATCTACGAGAGTTCGGAGCCCGACACCCCCCTGGTCCGGCTGGGATGGAACAAACAAGACCCCAGGTACATGGCCACCATCATCATGGACAGCGCCAAGGTGGTCGTCCTGGACATCCGCTTCCCGACCCTCCCAGTCGTCGAGTTGCAGAGGCACCAGGCCAGCGTCAACGCCATTGCCTGGGCCCCTCACAGCTCTTGCCACATCTGCACTGCCGGAGATGACTCCCAGGCTCTCATCTGGGACCTCTCCTCCATGGGCCAGCCGGTGGAGGGTGGCCTGGATCCCATTCTGGCCTATACGGCCGGGGCCGAAATCGAGCAGCTGCAGTGGTCCTCTTCCCAGCCCGATTGGGTTGCAATTGCCTTCTCCACCAAGCTTCAGATACTCAGAGTATGAATATATGAGCTGTAACATATGACCACTGACCAGGCAGGCAGGCATTCACTTCACTAACTGCTCCAGAGTCCAGTTCGCCATGAATCCAATATCATTGCTCAGCTCAGCAGCTCTTCTGTCTCATCCGTCAGTCAGTAGTCCTCCTTCCTTCCTAGTTCCCAGTTCCCAGTTCCCAGTCATAATTGAGATACTACTGCCTTGCCTTGTTTTGCCCTTGCTCCTTACTTTATTGATGATGATTGATGTCACATTAGCTGAAGTTGAAGCCATATATGCTGCTAGTATTAACTATTGCATTTCATGCTCTTTGCCTTCTAAATTTCTAACGAATATGCATCCTGGTTGATGGTAGTCTTAGAATCCTGCTAATTAAATTCATTGAATTCTAGCTTCTTCCGTCTGTCATCTAGATTGCTCAATATTTATTAAAAAATACTGTCATTTCCCCCATTTTGGCTATGCTTTTGTTTCTCTTTTGCCTTGCCTTTTTCATGTGAGAAAGAAGAGATTGCTCGCCTGGGGTAATTCAGACTAAGAATATATATTGGCAGAAAACTTTATATTGAATAGATTCTTCCTGCAGCAACTTATCTTAAACATTAGCTGATTTGACCTAGCAATCTGTTTTAATGAGTTATGTAAGCATGACATGACAAGTTGCTAGTGAGTTTGTTTCTTCAATTCAAGTGCATATTAATTTTTGTGGAAGGACGGCTTCAATTTTTCACGTTGTAGTGTAAAATTGCATTCCTACCCTCCTATATACCGAATTGAAGATTAAGTAATTGAGAAATGGAAGATGATTCTGTACAAGATCTCATATTGATGTTTTTTGTTCAATAGAACATATTGACCATCTACAAAGTGAAAATGAAAAGCAACAATTTATGAGGGTTGGGTTAGTAGTTTGAATTTCTGAGTTGGATTAAGCTTAGCTTAGTTTAATTAAATATATTTTTTATTCAAGGATCTACAATTCTTCCAAGGTTGATTTGTGAGTTGGCTGCAATTTTCATTGTAGACCCACTTTTGAGCTACATCGCTGTGAAAGATGGACCTTTTCAAAAGAGAAAAGAAGAAAAACAAATTGGCATCTGCCCTGGACCATACTAAATACCTTTGAGTCGTTTAGTTCTCTGCTTCTTTGCCTTAAGAAGCTGGAGGCTTGTTTAATTTATGTTTACTTTTTAGTCAAGAGCAGCTCAAAAAATTTAGATTGACATTCCTGTGGTCAAGGTCGTTGGGTCTTAGACTAATGTGCTTTCAGAAGCTATGTGCTAGAGTGAGGTTACATTAGTCTAGATGTAATGAAGTAACACTTTCAGTTAGTAGAAAACAATATCTAAAGCTTACTTTCAGAAGCTATGTGCTAGAGTGAGGTTACATTAGTCTAGATGTAATGAAGTAACACTTTCAGTTAGTAGAAAACAATATCTAAAGCTTACTTTCAGAAGCTATGTGCTAGAGTGAGGTTACATTAGTCTAGATGTAATGAAGTAACACTTTCAGTTAGTAGAAAACAATATCTAAAGCTTACTTTCAGAAGCTATGTGCTAAAATGAGGTTATGCGAGCCAGTTCTAACTTTCTAACTATGTGTTGTGCTCTCTGTTGTTTATGGAATCCAATCTATGCATGATGCCTAGGGATTTTCGTCTTTTATGTTGTTGTGATCATAAGTTAAATACAAAAAACCCCACTTTGAATCTCAAGAAAACTCCCTAGATGGATCTTCAGATCTCAAAAGAAACGCGTTAACTGTCTAGAAAACTGGAAATGCTCCAACAGTAATACTTTTTCATTGCTGATGCCTTTTGATGTTAGTTCCATTGATACATGAAACAATTACTAGTTCTGTTCAATTATAATTATCAAGTTTACGATGCTTTTATACCGGTCTCATTCTGTAATGTAACATGTTGATACAACTTTTGATTGGTTGGGTTGGGTCTATAATTAATATTTGAACTCTATTTCACATAGGCAAATTCGGGAAAGAAGATTTGAACTTTATTGAAGAAAGAATCTATTACAAAGATGTATTTGTTTGGTTACTCACTCTGTTTAGTTGATCAACTTTAATCTCAAGTGAAATAAGGTGCTCATAGCCATTGCCGGGCCATTCACATCATGATACCATTCACTATCACAGTAAAATAGGGTCGCAACCGTGTTCACTGAAAAACAAATGGATGTTTGAAAGCTACCCATCGAAGAGCAAATGGATGTTTTCGAAGCTACCCACTGAAAAACGAATGTATGTTCGGAGACTAGACATAGAACGATCCTCATTTCGTTTTGGAGTTAGAATTTGTTCGGTGGGAAGCCACCAAACCTCTATTGCAGTTTCAGTGACCTGACAGTTTGCAAAATCCGTATTGAAACGAATGAGGGTTTGTTGAGGAACGTGTGTTTGCGGCTCTGCAACAGAACACTGTTAGCTTAAATTATAATAGCCTAATAACAATTAAAAATCAAAATACCAATGATGCTTTTCTTTTTCTTTTTTTTCAAATCTTACGCTTTATCTTCTCTAACTCTTTCTCCCCACTTCTCTTCCCCACCTCCGTCGCCAATACCACACACAGAGCGTTTACCCTCCGCGTCATTAATGTTTGCCGTTGTATGTGTATGCCAAAGCATAGGAGGGACAATGCTGGGATCCTGTCTGGTAGACTTTTTCATCCTTGCAGCAGCTTTATATTCTCTGTATATGTAAGTTGGGCGACTAAGAGAACCAGGCTCAGGCCCAAAGGCCCAAAGGCCTAATGTCCAAAATGAGTACAAAATGAAAGAAGAAAGTGAGAGAGAAGATGGGAAATGCAAGGAAAGGAAGAGTGTATAGGAGGAGGAATAGGAGTGGAGGGGAGAGGGGGACACAAACACAAAGCTTTAAACCTCAGCCATTCGTTGAATGATAGGCTATCCATAATCTCATCCCCTCTTGGTTTTATTTCAGTCACTCCCAACACTTGCTCTCCCATCATCTCTATCTTATTAAAATGAACATATAACGACCTTGCAAATTTTCTGACTGTCTTGCTACCACTTCTACTACTGCTTGCTTAAGCTATAGGCTAGCTAGCTACCTCCATATCCATATCC